AGTAAGAGTATACCACAATGCTAGTCAGATTCTACCACAATGCTAGTTAGAGATTGCTAGTAAGAGTCTAACACAATGCTAGCCAGAGTCTACCACAATGCTAGTTAGAGACTGCTAGTAAGAGTCTACCACAATGCTAGCCAGAGTCTACCACAATGCTAGTTAGAGACTGCTAGTCAGAGTCTACCACAATGCTAGTCAGATTCTACCACAATGCTAGTAAGAGTCTACTACAATGCTTCAAAGAAAAACCAATAAAAATTGCTCTGGGTGCTATACATGTGTTTATCATGAATTTTGATCCAGAGGGACACAAATTTGAACCACAGAAAAAAAAAATAACAGAAACTATGCTTATCACTGATAATCTAGGGTAGTACTGTATTATGCTATGATTACCATGACTAAAAGAGAGTGTGTTTATTTGTTGCAGAGATCAGCAGAGTACGGAAGGACATGTACAATGACACGTTAAATGGGAGCACAGAGAAGAGAAGCTCAGAACTCCCGGACGCGGTGGGTCCAATTGTACAGCTCCAGGAGAAGCTTTACGTGCCTGTTAAAGAATATCCTGATGTGAGTATCAGCTTATCACCTTATTTACACCTAGTGCAGTAGGCAAACATTTATGGGTTATAGGAACCTCATGTAGTGGCTACAAATAGAAAAATTAAACACACACACACACACACACATTTTTGTGAAAATATAAAACAAAGAAAGTGTGCCAAGAATGTTTTTCTTATATCCTACACTAAAAGAAGTGTGTTTGTTGAGTAAATAATAAAAGATTCTTTTTGAAATATATATTTACACAACAGCCCTTAGTTAAATCTTCTTAAGTAAATGGAATTGTAAAACGTAGCACTACATACAGTATTGCATTATTTAATTACAGAGGTCTACATGTCAATGTAATCTAGTTTTCCTTGCATTAGGACATGGGCTCACGTCCAGTGTATTGATTTCATTACAAGAAGCTTAGGTAGTGATCCACATACTGTGTTTTGCTTTATTTTATGGGCCCATTTAATCTATTATGGACTAAACAGATGGTTTGTTGTAGGCACTTAATGTCAGAGCAGCCTCAGTTTTAACCATTTTCTGCTCTAGAGCATTTCATACTTACGTCTCTATTTTAAGTGCAGTCATTAAGAGTGGCTTGTACCCTCTGTGTCTCACTCCTTTGGTGTGTGCACAGCTCCAGTAATAGGGGTGACATTGAACTGTGTCTGCTTCCCAGTTTGTGTTGAGTCAGATGCACTCAGCCGAGTCACTAGCATCCCAGCGGTTAACAAATCTTTTAAGCAATCGCTGTCAGATCCCGCTTGCCTAAGCCCTCTGGCCCAGGAGAGTGCACAGAGCACCAAGCTGATTGATCCCAATTAACTTGCACCGTTCCCCCATGATTCCTGCATGGGCGTCATTAATTGAGCTTTCACAGCATGGGCAGGGGCACAGTTTGGAATTAACTATCCTCCATTTTGTTGAAGTTTCCTAGTTTGAAAGGCTGTTTATTTGCCCATTTCCCCAATGGAATGGGTAGTGAGGACATCTGTTTGACTAATTCATTCTTCAACCACAACACAAAATATCAGAGCTGTTCAACTATTATTTATATTTATATTTCCTTAATAAAATAATCCTTCATAATGAAGATAAATATATAATATATTTAAGGAATTTAACAACAAAAAAATTTATGTAATATACCAAACTGATTACGCTATAATAAACTAACTACCAAATTGTCCACAATACGAAATCTGTGATGACTCTCATTCTTCTAACTGTTATAATTTCCTGAAAATTTTCTGTTTTAAATTAAAAGTTATTAAATTACGTGAAATACAATAAGTAAAATATGACTGGCCAGCAAAAGGTGTTCTATGAATATTCATCTCAGTAATTGATATGAAGATACAATAATGAGTAGTTACAGTATTATTAAACAGAATTAAAAATAAAACTTTAAACAGAACAATAGGGTTATGGTGATTTGGAAGAAGCCACAATGCTGGAGACCAATATCCGGAGAGATAGATCTAAAACAATAAGTTAACTGTAATACACAAATAGTTTTCTACCTTCTGCTCTATACCCTCCATTTTATACCGTCTGTACAGTGGTGAGTTACAAAAAGTTGACATTTAGTGAAGCTACCCTTGTCTTTCAAGAACTGTGAGAGTTTATAGCTGTGCAAAGGCCACTGGGGTGTGTGTGTGTGTGTGTGTATATGTGTGTGTATATGTGTGTGTGCGCTTGTGCGTGTGTGTCTAGGTTCTGGCTGTCCTTGCTACTCTGAAGGACGCCCAGGATCATTATTAGTGCGCTTGGGTTCATTAGGAGGAATGAGAGATGAAATAAGAGGCCTCAAATAACCGCCAGCCGAGAATAGAGTCCCAGCAGATCTAAGAGGAGTGTGTGTGTGTGTGTGTGTCAGTGGTCACTCATTTCTAACTTCTGCTAGATATAATTTAATCATTAATTTCCTTTAGGTAAACCTCTTTTAGTTTTTTTTTTTACAGCTTTTATAATGCGTTTTAAAATCTTCCGTATAGAGAAATATGAATAGTGAGTTTAGACTGACTCTCCCGAAAATCAGTTATTAATGAATTATTATTAATAAAACTATTAGCCAAAAACCATCACATTCTGGTGTACAGAGCAAAATCTCCAATTAGTTCTTCATAGGAGTCATTATTACTTCCAGGTTGGGTACGAGGCAGTTAAAGTTTTAACGGAGAATAACAGTATTAAAGAGTGTGTGTGTGTGTGTGTGTGTGTGTGTGAGAGAGAGAGAGAGAGAGAGAGAAAGGAACAGACAGACAGACAGAAGATAATAACTAGCTGAGGATGCAAGCTGGTGATGAATGTGAGGGTAGGATGAGGTCAGGGAATCAGGGCAGAGGAACACTGGCCTGGTCTGCCTGATAAAAGAGGGAGAACAAACTCGTACGCACCCTGGTGTCTCCCATACCCGTCCCCAAGACAGGCTGTCTGCGGCACGGAAATTAATTTGGTCCTTCAAACTCTTGCAGCGCTGTTGCTCTCTTGGCAGCGCACACTCGTTCCAATTTGGTGAACAATGTTATTACATTGGGAAAGACAACAGTGCTAGCAGAATGTTGCTGTTCCCAGTAATTGTTGCCATTCATTTGTGTGCTCATATCTATAGTAAGTGTTGTGTGTGTAAGATAGTGTTGTGAGTGTGGGAGATAATGTTAGAGAGCAGACAGTGCTCTGCAGAGAAAGAGCTCTATAAATACTCCTCTCAGGCTCTGGGCATGGACAGAGCTTTTAATTGTAGTCGCTGTGGTGCATAGTGGGTTTGGAAGTGGAGGAGAGAGAGAGAGAGGAAGCAGGGGAACAAGAGAAGGCTGTCATCTATCATTCTTCCCTCAGTGTCCTTTTCTGGGTCACGCTCATCCGACGTGGAGATGAGCAGCTATCACTGATTATTAATCATTATAAGCATGCACGACAGGATTGATTCTCCCTCAGTCCTCTCGTTGGCCTTGGTCATCGTTCAGCAAGCTCAGAAAGGCAGGACAAGAGTGGAGCAGAGGGACACTTTGAATATGTATGGCTGTTCGTTATGGCATATGTATGGCTGAACCCTCATGTTCAATTCACTGCGTAACAATGAATTTCACACTGATCCAATCCAGTTGTTTAATAGCAATAATTAGTAATAGCAAAAATCTTCTAATCAACTCAAATCCATTTGATGTGTAGGTCTGTATACACAGGAGTCTAAATAAGTGATACAGCTTATGTGACAGAAACTACACTATATGGCCAAAGGTTTGTGGAAACATGACCATCACACCCATAACTGCTTTTTGAACATCCCATTCGAGATTAATGGCTGTGAGGATCTGTCCATTCAGTCACAAGAGCATTAGTGAGATTGGACACTGATGTCAGGTGAGGAGTCCTGGGGCGCAGTCAGCATTTCAATTCATCCCTAAAGGTTCAGTGTTCAGTGGGGTTGAGGTCAGGGCTCTGTGCTGGCCACTTGAGTTCATCCACACCAAACTTGGGAGACCATGTCTTCATGGAGCTCGCTTTGTGCACAGGGGCATTGTCATGCTGGAACAGGATTGGGCCCCCTTAGTTCTAGTGAAGGGAATTTGTAATACTACAGCACACAGACATTCTATACAATTGTGTGCTTCCAACTCTGTGGCAACAGTTTGAGGAAGTCCCACATATGGGTGTGATGGTCAGGTGACCATATACTTTGGCTATATAGCGCATATTCACCTTTTTGGCTCTATATTTACAAAAAAGTAGTCATATTAACTTTCATTTCACCTTGTTGTCGTCCCAAAAGAGAAAAAATGACCTGAACATTACCTCATGATTATGATGGTCATATGTTGTTGTTCTTTCGGCTGCTCCCGTTAGGGGTCGCCATAGCAGATCATTGGTCCGCATGTTGATTTGGCACAGGTTTTAGGCCGGATGCCCTTCCTGACGCAACCCTCCCACCCGGGCTTGGGACCAGCACTGAGAGTACACGCTCAGTGGTTGGGTTGGTTCCCGGCCCAGGAATCGAACCTGGGCCGCGGTGGTGAGAATGCGGGGTCCTTAGACACTAGATCACCAGGGAAATTATGTTAAGTTATATGATATTTAAAAATTACTTTTCATATTTATTAAATTGTGATTTTGACAAAACTCAAAATTATTTATAAGCACGTGCTTTACAAAGAAGTGTCTGTTACAAATACCCTTTATCCCATATCTCTTCTTGCGTTATCAGAAACTATATCTAATTAGTCTGCTGACATCATATTTGAGTGAGATGCTTTTTTGATGTCATGTTAACTGTAGTGGGAAGTGTCTAAGGTATTGTGAGGGTTGGAAGCGAGAGTTGGCCAGCTGCCCTGCTTCTCCAGGTGTCATTGTTTTAATTGAACCAGGCTGAGAGGATGGCCCCATAACTCACTACCGAATGAGGGCCTAATGAATGCTAAACTGCTGGACGTAATCTGGGGATTGGCAGCAGTCTCTGGACCAGCTGGTCGTGATTAATATGACTTAATTTTGTGCATGCATACGAACGTTTCTTCGTACGTGTATTTGCAGTTTAGAGAGCTCTGTGTGGTCTGAAACCGATTTGTAGTGCAGGTCTGAGACTTGTGTGTGATGTGTGACCACCCGTGAATGTTCTGTCAGGAGTGATTGGTCTCAATAAGCCAGACCACAGCCTATACAGAAAGAAGGTCGTATACTGAAACACCTACACAGCCCCCCATTTCTCATTCATTCAGCTGTGATTAGGTGAGGACTGGCACACGGAGCACGAAACCTCTCATTATTCCTGACGATAATAAACAGGAATGCGCACAGGGGAGAATGCTGCGGCAGTAGCGCCTGCGTTCTGGATCATTGCAAAGCTAATGAAGGTTAATTAGGGTTCATTAGGACATGATGGCTGCTCACAACAACACCTCAGGCCCGCGTGAGGCAGGCAGACAGCCCTTCAGCGCCCCTCCTCCCCTCCTGTAATGGCAGCACTGATGCTCAGCCAGCTCAGGACTCATGTATGCTGTCAATCCAGAGCAGTCACAGACCAGTGTCATAGCAGGTAGAGCAGCAGTAGGTGGGATATCATTTTAAAGGGGTAGGGGATCATTATTTTATGTTAAAGTGGCAGTGAGTATAAACATATTGGAAGCATTGTGAGTCCCTAGCTCTGTGCCACTGACAAAATATTTTTCAGTATTTTTTTAAGTGACTGTTTATGCTGTTTTTTAAGTGTAATTCGAAATGTGACTAATGTAAACTAATGTATTACGTCTGAGTAATGAATTGAATTATATTGCAAGGTTTCATTAATGGCATGAGAATTATGTGAGGCACACATGCGCACACACACACACACACACACTTAAAGGTAGATAAACAGCTGCATTCGTGATTTCTATTTTTTTGTGTGTGTTTTAAGTCTGTAATGTCCTACTTGTTTCATGCCAAGTTATCAAACATAATAAACAGAAAGGTTGCAACCTTTTGGTTCAAACTAAAAAAAAAACACTGAACTTACAGTTCTGTCATCTGTCCTTTTGTATAACTTTTACTTTAACTGGATAGTTTATCTACTTTTAGCTTCTCCTCTAAAGACATTTGGGAGAAAAGAAAAGATGACAGAGTAAAAAAAATCTACCTCTTTAGTGTTCATTACACCTGAACTGTATTTCAACCACACCACTGGTGGTGCTCGATTCCACAAATGTTTAAAGTAACCCACCCTTAAGACATTTCTTAGCAGCAAATAACCTGATGTGCCAAAAATGAAACCTTATACTGATGCTTTTTTTTTTTAAATCTTCGTTAGCCCTGCTAGCCCATTTCTACCAGCCACCCCTGCTAAGTACTGTTATTGTGAGTACTACAGTAAGATCTACTAATAGGAGCATAAACACAGCTGCTGAACCAAGTCAGAGAAATCAAGTGTTTCAGATATTAGATTCACCCCCACCCCCTCTAAAAGGAGTAGGGCAGTCTCCCTGCCCTGCATCCCCTCCCCTTGTTCCATACCATAATGAAAACAAAAGAGATCTTGCAGCAAGGAATCAGAGCGCAGTGGTATTTGAAGCCATGCAATAATTAATTTGCCTATTAGCAGTGCCAGCTCGTTTATCTTCATAAGATAATGCCATCACTCGCGCTCTCTGGCAGGCCCGCGCGCGCTGTCTTAAACAGCCCTAATTACGTCCCTGCTGCCTGTTTTATTGTAGTTGATGGAAAACACGCATGATCTCCACTGTGCAGATCGTGTAAATAGGCCTGAGCCTTGAACAGCAGATATTAGAGATTCTATTACAGCCTAATGATTTTCTTTGCTGGGTTTTTTTTTGTGAGTGGTGCTGGAAACAGTAAATAGTAACTTCTGTGCAGGGAGAGAGTATTGAGCTGACTTTGTTTGCTTTCAAATACTGTTCTTTTGGTGACTAAAGCTTTGTCAGTGACAACACGATTTAAAAAAACTGCATTATTCCTAAAAGTGAGCCCTTTCTGTTACTGTTGAGCTATGGCAGAATTGCTTCTTTGAAAGTAAGCTAAAGGGACAATGGTGACACACTGAAAAGGACACAGCTAGCTATAATTCTTCACATGCACAAAAATGGGCACACAAAGCCCTGTACCTGGTGAGTGCAGTAAATGAACAGACACAGTGTGTAGGCTTTAAAAAGAAGAGAATGTGTCCTATGACCCAATGCTGAACACAGCTGTTACCTGGATCACAGAGCACTATGACAGTTAAGGTTAGACACAGAGACATGCACATTATCATACACACTTTCAAACAAGACGCACAGGTGTGTTTTCAAGTATTCAAGTATTCACCCATTCAAATGGTAAAGTGTCATATCAGAAAACTAGCACACATACTAGGTACTCATTTTTTTTCTCTCACACTTAAAAGGGAGCTTCCATTTGCAGAACTTCAAAAGACAGAAAAAAGTGAGGCTGGTGAGCAAATGACTGTTTATAGCTACTATAACCTAAGTGATAACAAGAACTAACTTGTTCTATGGACATTCCACAACATTAATTGTCATTGTGTCGTTCTTTAATAAATAAAAAAATGCAATCACTGGAAAATTGCTGTGCTATAAGAGAAATAAAACACAACAGAGCACAATGTTATAGTTTTCCTATAACTATTATTTGTGATACTGATGAGCTGCCACGTTCCCACAAATAATAAAATATTGTGTTAAAATAAAACTATACGTTGTGCCCATATGTTTAAACTCAATCTATCACTCATTGTATGTGTTATTCTATTTTTATACAGTATATTTTTAACAGTTAGTTCTGGTCCACTAATTTGATTGGACAAGTGGTGTTCCAAGAGTGCTTACATTTAGTATAACAGCACTGGGATTTTTCACTGTTTGTATCATTCCGCATGTCTGTGCTCATACAGTTACAATTCTAGCAACAGTCCCACTAAAACCATTACTACAGTAGAGTTAGCGACATCGACAGAGGACATGGCAAGCGAAACATTTTTCATGAATATAACTTCTGACTTAAAATATGAAAGCTAGTCAGATGAAAAGTAAGAAGGGAAGCCAGTTTCACCGGAAGCACCTTTTCCTTTTGAGGAACAAAAATATTATTTGGCCTTATTGTGTCCGTAATATGAGTTACTCTGTATTAATTTCTTATTTATAAAACTGTTGCATAAAAGCAATATCACACTCACATTCAGTTGTTATACTGAATATCAGCACGGCTGTGATTACCTGCCTTGTGCGATACTGCCTAATTATATTTATATAATTTCTGCTCATTGTGATGAAGAGAAAAAAAATACCTATTATTATTATTATTTTGAGTTGTAGTTAAACACTACAAAGACTCACTTTGCTGAACAGAATTGAGTGCGGTGGTGTACGTGTATATTTACGTGGTTGGCAGTGGCATCTCCCACTCATGAACAGAATGTAAGAAAAACAAATCGAAATGTTTCTTCAGTGCTTTTGTTTATACACGTAATGAGTCAAAAATTAGTTTTACATACAGTTTGTCTAGCTGATTGCGGCAAGCACCAAACAGGATTGCGCATTGCGATTGATGTCTTGCTACTTTTAGCTGGTTTAAAACCAGCATTATGTCATATTCCAACCAGCACTGCAACAGAGATGGGTGCTAATTCTGATTCATACAGTGTTTTTTGTTGTGACCTACTCCCTAGTCCCACACAACTCAGATTCACCACAGTAGATATAACTAATAGTAGGAGGCTTATTCTGAAATTAAGTCAACAGCTGTGTTCAGCATAAGGGCTTTATGCCTCAACTGGGCTTGAGTGCTGACAATAATTTGTGCAGAAATATGGAGGGTTAGGTTCTCAAATCCATTCTGGCACATCACCTCCAGTTGCCTCGACCACCTGATGGGCGGAAGATGAAAATTTAATTCCCCTCTTTCTTCTATACTCCTTCCTAAAAAGCACAGACATTTGCACTTCCTCTCCATCCCATCACAAAGGCATATATACACACACACACACACACACACAGATGCATACACACATACACACATAGGCATTCATCAATGCCAAGCGCAGCAGAGGTGGTGTGTGTGTTGCACAGCAGGAGAAGACCCAGCACAAAAGGCCCAGACTCAGGAGCGTGTGTGTGTGAAAGAGCAGCATCAAAGCTCATATGACAGCTCGAGAGTGGGGAGGGGTAGAGAAGTGATACATCCACTCAGGTAGAGTAGTTGCTGCTGTCACATAGGCTTTGGGCGTGCATGAAGTGTAAGAGTAATGCAGCGTGTGTGTGTGTGTGTGTGTGTGTAATTGTGAATCCTTTTTAGCATGTGTGTCAGTGTCGTTCTCATCCAAGAGCTGTAGCTCTTTTGGTTCCTGATCTTTACTCTTTTAGGAGAGACGTTTAGTGGGTCATGCTGTAGGAACTGTTTGTGAAAAGCCTGTGAATTGGCTTGTTTTTTCACAGGCCAGGTGCAGTAATGATATTTCATCAACGGCATTCACACAGATGCAAATCTTGTTTGTAGAAATCATAATCAGTTTAACATGATTATGGTCATTATATTCATTATGAATCAGAATTTTGCCAATGAGGC